TGGAGACCAGGCTGGCCTCGAACTCACAGAGATCCACCTGCCTCTGCCTCCCGAGTGCTGGGATTAAAGGCGTGCGCCACCACCGCCCGGCTAATTCTTTTGTTTTTATTAGTTTTATTTTTGTATGTGTATATGTCTGGTAGGTGTATGGCATGTGGGTGAATATCCCATCAAAGGCTAGAAGAGGGAGTAGGATGTCCTGGAGCTGGAGTTATAGAGGATTGTGAGCTGCCTTAAGTAGAAGCTAGGAACCAAATCTGGTCCCTGGTAGAGTGGGGAGATTTTTAACTGAATCATCTCTCCAGCCCCTTTTGTTGCTGGGTTTTCTGTTGTTGTTTTGTTTTTGAGACAGGGTTTTGCTAACTCGCTCAGGCTGGCTTCCGTATTTATTTCTTTGTCTACCACTTAAAAAGTATATTTATTTTTATTCCTTTTAGTGCTTTTTAAAAAGTATGTGCATGTGTATGTGTGTGTGTCTGTTTGTCTGTATGTCCACTGAAAAGGCCAGAAGAGGGCTTCGGATCCCCTAAACTGGAGTTACAGGTAGTCATGAGCCACCAGTGGGTGCTGGGACCCACACCTGGGTCCTTTGCAAGAGCAGCTGACAGAATGCAGCAAGTGCTCTAAGTGCTGGGCCGTCTCTTCAGCCCCTTGTCTACTTCTTTCCCCCATCCCCAATTAGCAAGTTTTTCTTCTCATTAGAGCAACCTTTCCTTCCACATGGCCTCATTTATAATATTACACACTTTCATGTTGGGAGCACAATAGAAAGCATTGTGTATTTGAAGTTCCCCTTGAGGGGCAATTTCAGAGAGAAGCATTTAGCTCAAAGCAGATAACTATGCCAATGGAATCATAACATTGTCTAAATCTCTGATCCTCATCCTCTGGTTTCGATCCTAATCCCTTGCAGCACTGAGCGCTGTGGTTTTGTAGTTAATTTTAAGGAAACAAACATGGGCCTCAAATGGTGATGTCACTGTAAGAAAGGGAGGAAATGAGAGAAGATGTGGGAAAGTCAGATATTTTATCATCCATTGTAAGGGAATCAATATAACACATCTAACACCAACAAATCACCAATAGTTGAACATTTGAGCTATTTAAAGTTTTTTAAATCCTGTGATTCATTCCTTCCTCTGAAAATGGAAAGGAGTGGACTGTTGACAAGGCGTGGGAATTTCCTTCTTGGAATAATAAGCAGGGTGATTTAGCAAGAAAGCAAAATGATTAGTCATTATGACCAACAGAGTGGACCTTAATCATCAATAAAGTAGGTGACGGGGATCCCTGTGTATCGGAATCTTCATACTCAGGATTAGATGTGAAGACCCAAGTGAAGCTGAAAGTGATGCTTTTGCCATGAAAAAAAAAATCCTTTTTAATTTAAGTGGAAAATTTAAGGTTACAGCGTCAGCAGCAGTATGGGCTGAAGACTCAGCACCACAGTCGCCTGAGGTAATTGAGGAATTCCAGAGAACTCACTGGGTAACACCAGGGTTCCTACTTGACACAGAGAATTTCCAGATGAGCCAGTGGGAAGCAGAGCTACAGGCAGTTAGGAAGAGGGTGTTTGTGCCTCTGTGTGTGTGCCTCTGTGTGTGTGTGTGCATGTGTGCACACGTGTGAGTGAAGGTGCCCACAGAGGCTGGAAAGGGTTTCAGATGATCCCCTGGAGCTGGAGTTACAGGTGGTTGTGAGCCACCCGGCATGGGTCCCAAGAACCACACTCAGGCCCTCAGCAAGAGCAGCACAGTCTTATCCGCTGAGCCATCCCCGGCCCCACTTAGGAAGAAGTACCAGCTAACGGCAAGGTACAGGGAGAGGATAAGGCACAACCAAGTGTGGGTGTGGGCATGGTCATGGGTCTGGCTTCTCAAGGGGGTCCTGGGGGTGGGGGGCAGAGTGATGGCTCAGGGGGTAAAAGTGCTTGTCTTAGAGTCTAGAGACCCGAGTTCAATCCTGGAGCCCACACGGTGGAAGGAGAGAGCCAGTCACTGCAAGTTGTCCTCTGAACGCCACACCTGCACAAGTGTGCATCCCTCCACAAACAAACAAACAAATGGATGAATACATAAATAACTTTTTTAAAGCATACAATTGAGAAAATTATGGACTAGAGAGACGGCTCAGAAGGTAAATGTGCTTGCTTCCAAGACTGATGGTCTAAGTATGATCCCTGGGACCCACATGAAAAGGGAGAGCTTACTGCCACAAGCTGATCTCTAACCTCCACACATGTGCTATGGCACACACACACACACACACACAAACAAATAAACAAATAAATAAATAAATAAATAAATAAATAAATAAATAAATAAATAAGAGAGTTGTATTTAAGTATCTTTACAATTTTGTGTGTATTTTGGTAGTTTCTGACATCTCAATGGGACTTGAATGAGATCATTGATGGTTCCTGAGGGGCCTTGGATAGAGCAAAAGCTGACAAGGTGGAATCCTTGCCTGGTGTGGTACACAGAAAGATGAGGTGTCTTCACTGGACCAAAGCTTATCTACTATTTGTGAGAGTCCCACAGAATTGCAGTTTCACCTTTGGGAAAGGAGCATGTACACTCCAGGGTCATGTCACTTGGGCCTTAAGCATGGCTCACTCTGGTTTTTAGATGCTTATTTGGAAACATCTCTCTATAAAAGGCATACCATCTCTACATAGACAGCTTCCACAGTACATGCTGGCTGTCCTGGAATTCTTGATTCCTACCAACAGGCTTCAACAGACTCTGGAATGGGACTTCCCTTCTCCTTCCCAATCCCTTCAGTTTTCCCTTGTCCTACCCCGTTGGTTTTAGGTCTTGGTTGTTAGAGTCTCTGGGATGGCAGACTTTTTGGTAGAAAGCAGTAGGTTCATCTACACATTAGGAATCATGTATTAGAACTGAGTAACTCTTAATTCTAGGAATGGAGATCACTTCTCCAGTGTTACTTGACTTCAAATTTTTTAAATGCTTTAAAATTTTTTAAATAGCTCCAAATGAGTCTGGGCAAAATGGACATGCCACTAATGCAAAGCCTATTTTATTTTAAAACATTCCATGTGATGCAGCTTTGCGGGACTCTGTTAAAATAGATCACTCTGTGATAATTATAGGGTGTGTAATCGCCTCTCCTTTTGGTAGAATTGCTTCCTACTGAAAACACTGTAATACAATGTGGACAGGATGTAATGTATGTTTTGTTTCTTTGTGTTAGCAGGACGGAAGAAATACTTCATTTTTTTTTATTTTGTAGAATTTTAAATTGAAGTAATTTTATATTGGTGTTGCTCATTCTGAAATAAGATGTTCATCGTTAAAGTTAAAACAACACAAAATTATATAAAATATGCTGTAGTAGATAATATTTTGCCAGAAAGTTTCTGTCAATGTATTCCCTCTTACACACACTCTCCAATAATGGGAATTCTGACACTGCACCAGGGAAGGTTCAGGAAACCTGTGTTCCCGACTTCCACCAGGGCAGACCTTTCTAACTACTGTGCCAGTCATGACTTCCACAGCTAGATCATTAAAGGCAAGCTGGCTGCAACCTGGTTGTCTCTCTGGACCTGTTACTCCAACTCTCTGGAATCCCAGATGCCATTTAAGAAGTCCAGTGACTATGCAGCCTCCACACTGGGAAAACCAGTGGAGGACTGTCATGGTCGGGATGTGAAAAATCCCGCACAGGCTTGTGTGTTTGAATGTTTGGTCTCCAGCTGCCAGGTGGAGACCTTCCCTTAGAGGAAGTAGGTCACTGGGTTAACTTTGAGAGTCTATAATCTGACCCCACTTCCTGCCTGGTTACACTCCTGCTGGCACAGCAGAGAGCCCTTCCCACAACCACGCCCTCACACTGTGGATGGACTACCTCCTCTGAAACTATGAGCCCCAGCTGCTCAGACCACCACAGGCCAGGGCCAGATGTGTAAATGAACAGGTGCTGAGACTCCTTCAGCCCCAGCCACAGGTGAACCCACCATTGCTTGAGTCAGCACAGCCCAACTGAGCTGCCCCCAAATTCCTGAAAGAGCTAGCCAAGGAAATTTGTAAATGATCATTATTGCTCTAAGGAC